GCTGGGGCATCCGAACTGGTCCAAGATCGCCTGCAGGAGGGCCTTGGAGAGCCCAACCAAGATGGCCTCCAATATATCAGGCCGATGATTATTCAAGGTCGCCAAGATGGCTCCCAAAAATGTTCCGAGAGGTTCCGCGATCATTCAGAAACGGACCCGCGTGGGCCCGAAGCCTCCGAAGGAATCCCGCCCAAATGTTCCAACGACGCAAGGAGACTCAATGATTTTGGCCTTCCCGCTTCTTCGCTTCCGATGGTCCTCCGAGGCTTCTAGACGGCTCCACGAGGCCCCAAGAAGGGCCCAAGATGGTTCCAACACAGCCGCGCCCTGAGAACGCCCGAGTTGACAATTTTGTGGGTTCCAGCCGACGCTAATTGAAGCTGCGCCCTCTTTGGTCGAAATCCCCAATAAGGGTTCGGAAACAACCCGATGATGGCCCCAAGAAGCCCCCCGGGGAAGCCCCCGGAAGCAACCATGACGCCCACAGGCATCCAAGACGCTCGATAAGGCCCCCGGGACTGCCAAGAGACCCCCCAAACGCACCAACAGACTTAAAGAAGCTTCGAAGAAGCCTCTACCCGTTCTGCTGATCTTCCTTTTCCTCCGCCTATTATCCCCCCTTTGCCCCTCCCCACGCATCCATCCATGCTCCTCCCCCCCCTTCCCCATTAAGCAAAAAAGCGATTATTGTCCGCCCCCCTTCTCCTCCTCCTCCTCCTCCTCGGCGCCATCGTATTTGTAATCGTCCTCGTCGCCATCGCCGTCGTCGTCATCCTCATCATCACCCCCATCCGCCTATTCCTCCTCGCGTCTTCCCAACCCTCGCCCATGCACCTCCTCCTTACCCTCCTTCGAAGGATGACGGTTGCCCCCACTGTGTTCCTATACTTCTTCGGCCACCTCAACTCGACTGGGCGTCGTTGCTGGATGGGCTGGCGGGGAAACGCGAAGCGTTGCGATTTTCAAGGCCAGCGACCCCGATCACTCCGATCACGCACCCTATTGCCGCTGAAATCCAGCGGCGGAGACAATCACTCGCGCAATTGCCGCTGCCACAGTGACCGCGAACCCTGCGAATCAGACAATCCGTACCTGTCGGCATGATGGTACCCGTCGCAACAAACAATAACAACATCATAGTATCAATGTCGCTGACGATGCCGTCAATTTAATCGCCGCGGCCAACGTTGTTGCCACTGCCGCCGTCACCGCCGCCACCACCATGGCAATCAACAGTTTTCTCCCCGCTGAATGTCGATGCTCGCACGAATGACGTCGGCCCAGCTGCAGATTTGAATCTGGATGGTTTCACTACTGTGGGGCAGTGATTCAATGAATGCCAAACCTCGTAGCGGGGCGTTTTCGCTGAGCGCGCAATAGCCAGCTCGAAGATAGCGGTTCGGCAGGGCGCGACGTCAGAACGCCGCAATCCTTAGCATGAGAAGCGTTTGCGCCCGTCCACTCTGGAGGTCTGCCCAACGGGCAACAACCACCTGGTTGAATATTTTTGTTGCGGCTGACGTTGAAACATAGTTTTCCTGATTCGCTTGTCGCCGAGGGTCGAGCTAGCTTGCGCGCCTGTGCGAAGAAAAAATCGTCGTCGTCCCCTCCTCCCCCTCCGCCTATTCCTCGCCTCCATTGCTCCTGTCACTCCTCATCCTCCTCGTACTCGTTGTCACGCGACCCCATCATTGCCCCCACTGTTGCTATCGAGTCGGCTCGGCATCTGGACCGATAAGCCCAAGCCGCGATCGCCCAGAGGAAGGATCAACAACCGAGCGCCCCACAGCATGCGCACAAGCCTGAGGAAATAGCCGCTGGTGTGCAAAAACAGCGACAGCGAATACATCCGGGATAAGATCTTCGTGCCTAGACTCGTCAAGATGGATGCTTCAACCAATTGGTTCGCATGCAGAGCGCAATGCAAGTGCTCCCACAAAAAATTTGGAAGGCTGTTGCATGACAGAAGAAACGCAGCTAATTTGTCATTCGCGTGAGCGCCATCCGTCTCATTCAAATTGATAACGAAGCGAGCTCTCTGTTGCAACAACGTCACTGCATGAAATATCGGCCCAGTGAACTCCGACCAAAACAATGCATGGTAAATATTCCCTGCAGACGTCGATGGCACCACCAAAGGAGGCATGATGAAGGAGTAGGAGAAAACCTTTGGAGGCGCCTCGGGGCCAGTCGGATCCTCAAAGGCAATGAGCATCCGCATTCTAGCAACGAGCACATGGAAGACCGAAGTGTCGCAGCCTTCCGTCCCGCTGCCAAGTGCAAGGCGTTCACCTGTTTCATCCCAGGCCAGACGCGTCATAATGAAGAGCGGCCTGTTCGTTGACGCAAGCATGATAAGACAGCCCAGAACAAGGTTTTGACAAGCCAGAAGCATCCCACACACATACAAGCGCAATGCCATCACCCATCGTTTCGATATGCCGTGCATGCGGGCGATGTCGCCCGACCTCAGGCAGTCAGAGAATGCGATGTCGAGCATTGCTGCAACCGTGACCTTGCAACTGTTCTTGTCGCCGCTGCTGGAGGGTAGGAACAATGCGAGTTTTTTTCTTGCAGGCCTCGAGCTCCTGCTTGGCAGCCCTCGCTTCCTTCTGAGCTTTGCGCTCACGCATATGCGAAGCTTGGGCACACTTTTCGAAGGTATCCCCGTGCCGCCCAGACCCAAACCAAGCGGGCTTGCGAGCGGCAGCTGCAGCGCGCACCGCTACGGAGCCTCGATCGGCAGGGCGTGGATGGGCGGGAGCTGCGGCTCCGAACATGACGTCGTCAAGTTCGGGGTCGGCCAGGGCCAGGGCCGCGCCCGGGGCCGCAACTGGAAGGCCAAGAAAGATATTGTCAATATCGGCATCGTCGCCCATGCCAAGTGAGTCTGTAATGAAACGGTATGTGACATGTGTTATATACTGGGGGCCTGAAGTTTGGACCAAATTGCTGACTGGGAGATGGATATCGGTAGCGGTGGCATCGGCGAAAGCGACTCCGTTCGAAGCTCGCGAATCAAATGAAACCCCAAAGCCCTAACGGCGTGAGCGGCTCAGCAAACCATCTCTTTCACGACCCCTGTCCCCTCCTGCGGCGTCCGCTCCTCTTCCCAGTGCGCTTGGGTCTGGCGCAGGGGAAGGGCGGAAATGCCGGTGGGGCCGTCACGGCTCACGATGGTTACAAGATGGCACGAGACAGCCCGATATGCTCTCTAAGATGACTCGCGATAGAGTAATACGCCTCCAAATGGCCTCCCACGCGTTTTTCTATGACACCCCAAAGTTGCCCAAGCACCCCGGCGCACAAGCGCGACATGCAAACAATCATTGGAATCATCCCAACACCTTCAAAGGCCCAGCCCCCTGAAAATCGCAAACGATTCAACGCAATTCAACTTGCCCCTACGGCTCCTATGAAACTTTTGAGTTGGTGCGAAGGCCCCGCTACGGGGCAGAGCAATGACGCCAGGGCCGCCCCGAAAGCGCCCAGAATACTCGACGAGTGCCCTGACACAGCCCCAATGGGAGACTATTCGAGCGATGAGGGAAACAGAACCCCCCCCCCTTGCGACCGACGACAACAACGATGGTCGCAGGAGACCCCCCCCGCAAGGTCCCCAAGAAAATCACTGGGAGAGTCCCGAATCTACCGACCTCAGCATTTGTTCCAAACACCCCCAGTGCCCCCAGCCAGCGAAATGCTCCCAGATTACCAAAAAGGTAGATTCGCGTCTCTCCGCTGCCACGAGAAACTCAGGTGCCAACCTTGACTCAGGACCTCGAAGGCCTTCGCAGCGCCCCTGTGGGATGCCCCTCGGCGTGTCAAAGATGATACCTACTGGGATTGCGGAGGTGAAATGGGCAGCTGGCTGCGCTCTTGCGTCAGCCCAACTGCGCATCGTCATTGGATGGGCTGGCCGGGATGCCCTAAGCCTCAACAGTTGCCTTGCGCGCTATGCAAGAGATGGCTGCACGCGCCTCAACTGCGGTGGTGTCAGAATATGACTGTGCTTGAGGCCCTGAGGACTGATGGCTAATCATGATGTCTAGGGCTTTCAGCCCAAGTGTTTCCAGGGGGTTCCCAAATGCCTGTGGGCGCCTCCAGCGCATTGAAGGGATCTTAGATCTTGGTCACCCACCTTCCCCCCCCCACACCCGCAATACTAAAGCTTAACACTATAGTTAAAACATCTCATCAAGAGGGGGCCCAAGTTAGTGTGAGAACCACCCTCCAATGCATGGTGGCTTGATTTGCGTCCCGCGTGCCCTGCCAGCGTCCCATCCCCGGCGCAGTGACTCCGCCCAGCCGCCGACGCAAAAAAGTGCTTGGCCCGAGAGTTTGGGGAGGGCGATCGATGGACAGAACCTCTCTGGGCGGCGAGCCAAAAGGGGCGGGGCGAGAGGGTGACACTTTAAGAAACCAGGAAGCCTCTTAGATTATGTGGCTCCCATCGTACTTACTCAAGGACCACATCCCAGAAATAACTTCGAGCACCCGGAAGAGTGTCGAAGCAGTGCCGAACGAGCATCTCCCAGAGCCCGACACGTGAAAACCCTCGAGTGTCGGAACCTTCTTGGTGCTCGAAATTCTTTCTGGTGACTCAGGCTAAAGTTAGTTGGAACGTCATAACTCTTAGAAAGGGTCGGAGGCCTCCAGGACGGCTTCGTGAAGGCAGGAGAGACTCCGAGAAGCCCCATGCCTTCTCCCTCCCCTCGGCCCACCCCCCTCCTACGCACCCCCAGCGCACCGATGAGCAGGGGGGGGGCATCCGGGCCTCTGACGTGTTTTTCCACCAGTCCCCAGAGCGCAGGTAGTCCAGAGCGCTTCCTCTTCCACCCCCCATTCTTCCCCCTCGGGGAGGACCGGAAGCCGGGCGAGGGCTGCTAAATCGACCTCTGAGAAAATGTCTTCGTCCTTCCGGGAAGAAGCCCGTTGACTGCTTCGCGTGCCGCGCCTCATTCCGGGAAGTTGATTTTTTTCCTTCCGGGAGGGCCGTTTTAGCAGCCACGGTGTTAGCAGCCCTCACCCAGCTTCCGAGAGGAGGGTTATCACTTTTCGGCTACACGTAGGAGTGACCCTGGGCAAGAGTGACCTCTGGTGCGCAGCTCAGCGGGGGACGCGGGGGGGCCAAACATGGGCGCGCAAGCCGCTGCTATCGCATCGCATTCGGCGATTGTGGCACCCCATTGGGCCCGCACCAAAGGTCACTCCGGCGAAAGGTCACTCTTACGTCTAGTCGAACTTTTCCCAATGAGTACGCACCCCCTCCCCCCGGCGACCGGCGGCCAACCAGGGACCATGCGCACCCCCCCCCGCCACCATCCCTGTCAGAACACACAATGCAGAAATGCACCCTGCCTCCAGCATTCGGAGCATGCGCAGCCAGCACGAGGCGGCCCCCTCCACCATCCCCGTCAAGACACCATACAACGTACACTTTGGAGCAAAAAGTCTGGAGTCATGCTCGTGAGGCCCGCGAGCAGCTTATACTGTCTGCTGACAGGGACGTCGGGGGTGTCAGCATATCGCCTGGTGTGCGCAGGGCTGCCATCCCTGAACAGATCACAACACAAAAGGCACCTTGCGGCTGAATCTACATCATCGGCGGCCACCCCGCGATCATTGTCCAGCGGTTTTTGACAGGGACGGCGGGGGTGGTGGCGTCTGGCCTGCTGCGCGCAGGCTCACCAGACACAATGATGGGTATTGGCTTTCGACAAGGATGATGTGGGCCGACACGTTTCCCAATGTGTGCTGTCGCGTGCGCAGGCGCACCTGACACACTCTGTACGTGCCCCGAACGTGGCGCACCTGGCGCGGCTGGAGTATGCGGCACACCTGGCGCACGCGGAGGCACGTGGCGCATCTGGCGCACCAGGCACACCAGGCGTGCCTGGCACGCTCGGGCCCCAGGGGTGCCTGGCGCGCCTGGCACGCGTGGCGCACCTCGCCCCAGCGTCGCGCACATGGGCTCGGTTTTGGTTCCCAGTAGCTGTCCATCCAAACACGACCGCTGAACATGTTGAGGCTCGGGTGTTACCTATGTGTTGGGAGGGTGGGTGGGAATGAGCTAGACGGCTTGCTATCTGGAGGGTGTCTTGACCCCTCCCCCTACCCACTCCCCCGGACACGGACGAGGCGCCCCGCGGGTAGTTAGAGCGTTCCAGATGGCCCAAGACGGCTCCAAGAGCGCCTCGGACAGGCACCACACATCTGCGGGGTGATTCTGCAAGCATGCCTTCATATGACTCCTCCGGACAACATCGGAAGAACAAATAAGATGTGGATCAATGCAACACCACCGCACGATTTGCGAATGTGAGTCAAGATGGCTTGTGCCAAAAGGCTACGGAACTCGCAGGTGCTAAAGTGATAATCACATGTTGCACTTGGTGTTGCTTCCACCCGTTCAACTGCTGACCGCCATGACTCAATTTCAAGCGGGACGTCCTTCCCGCCCTCCGGCATGGCTGGTGGTACGACGCGGCGGGGGCGACCGACTCATATGGAAGAGGGAGGTCCAATCACCCTCTTTTCTTTGCCACGGGGGGGGAGGAGGAGCTTGTTAGAAGTCGATCTCGGCTTACGGGTCCCAACGCCCATGGGGGGACCAGGTGTCAAGTACTGGTTACCCTCCTGAAGCACGGTGGCTGGCGGAGGAGGAGGAGGAGGAGGAGGAGGAGGAGGCGGAGGAGCAGGAGGAGGAGGAGGAGGAGGACTGCCTCCTGGTCCCTCGTCCCCGAGCCCACCTCCTCCTCCTGCCCTCCTCTGTGCCTCCTCGTCTCCGCTCTCCGCCTTCCCCCGTCCCCGCGCGCGCTCCCGCGCGCCCCCGGGAGGGGGGAGGAGGGGGGAGGAGGAAGGAGGGAGGAGGGAGGAGGGAGGAGGGGGAGGAGGAGGAGGAGGAGGAGGAGGAGGAGGAGGAGGAGGAGGAGGAGGAGGAGGAGGAGGAGGAGGAGGGAGGAGGAGGAGGAGGGAGGAGGGAGGAGGAGGAGGCTGCAGGAGGCCAGCCGGGCATGGAAGCTGCAGGAGGAGGAGGCTGCAGGAGGAGGAGGGAGGAGGGAGGAGGGAGGAGGAGGCTGCAGGAGGAGGAGGCTGCAGGAGGAGGGGGAGGAGGAAGGAGGGAGAGTTGGACAGGGCTGAACCTAAACGGTGCTTTTCGTTTTCGCTTTGGTTTCGTGTTCCCTCGTCCTGTCTTCCATCCGGCTTTGCCGCAAATCGAGGTCGAGACGAAAACGGCCCACGAGATCGTCAAAGCACCGTTTCGGTCCAGCCCTGGCGTTGGAGTGCAAGGACTCGGGCCGAACGCGAGAACGAGGACGAACACCGCGAACACCGGATGACGAGGTCGCGCGTGGATGTTATATTTCACGGATAAGCCCACTGCCGAGAACGCAGCACGTGAAGACATATGGCGAATCCAGACTGTGTTGCGCACAGCCTCACCAAAGATACCATGCAACCTATATGTAAGCGAAGACACAACCCAGCCACCACCCC